TATTTGGGGTGCTGAGGTTCAACTTTGGTCAGCCATGAGCAAGAGAAACACCCTCCCTGCTATGGTATTGCTTTGGCTCCTAATATATTTTTTAAAAATCATGAAACATTGAGTCTTTTGAATTAGGACTGGTATATTTAGCAAATAGAAAATGTGGATACCCAGCTAGATTTGAGAAATATTCTTTTTTTAGTATAAATATAGACATGCAATATTTGGGACATTCTTATACTAAAATATTATTTTTTTTGGCTGGTGCCATGGTACAGTGGGGAGGGCATTTGCCTTACATGCAATTGACCTGGGTTTAATCCCCATTATCCCATATGGATGCTGGGGATTGAACTCAGGTACCACCAGGAGTAATTCCTGAGCATAGAACCAGAAGTAACCCCTGAGCATTGCTGGGTGTGGTCCAACAACTGAAAAGAGTAAAAAAAATTTTTAAATATATTTAAAAATTATTTTTTGTTTATCTGAAGAGGCCCTCCCATTGATCATCGATTTGCTCGAGCGGGCCCAGTAACGTCTCCATTGGAGACTTTGTTGTTACTGTGTCTGGCATATCGAATACTCTCGGTAGCTTGCCGGGCTCTCCGAGAGGGGCGGAGGAATCGAACTCGGGTCGGCCATGTTGGCTGCGTGCAAGGCAGACGCCCTACCCGCTGTGCTATCGCTCCAGCCCTGTTTATCTGAAATTCAAACTTAATTGGGTGTATTATTCTGACAACCCTATTTTCAATATTTTAAGATGTTAGTTTGGTAATGGTCTGTTGAGACTGAGGAGGGCTTTATCAGGCTTAATTATTCACGTTGAATCTGTTGATATTTAGAAATAGATGTTTCTCTGTTGTGGAAGCTATCTGGAGTGTTTTATGACTTTTAGTTGCATTCCTGACTTGTACTCCCCAGCAGTCACCTGCCCCTTATCCATTGTGACAATCAGACATACCTCCAGAGATTGCCAAGTGTCTCCTAGGTATGGGGTGATCATCGTTAATTGAGAAACATCACACCAGGGAAAGTGGAAAAAAGCAGAACTGCAAAGTATATAAAAAATGGTGGTCAGAAGGTGACATTTCATCCAGTAGTGATAGAGATTCTATCCAGACCTCTCTTCCTCACCCACTCAGCACATTTAAGCTCCATTTTACTAGTAAGAGTTACCAAGAACATTGTTAGAGGAAGTCAGTAATATATTTTTAGTCCTGTGTTAGTTATAACCACCAGGAAATCATTCTCTGTTTACTTTTTCTTTCTATATAGCTCATATGAAACTATATGTGTATATATGTTAGTATATATATATATATATATATATATACACATATATATTATTTAGGATTTAACCTAACTTCTTTATAGACTGCCTAACAGACTACTAAATCAACTACTCTAATTTATCAGAGATCATCAATTTGTATAACTTGGGTGACATTAGCATTTGATGGGTAAAACTTTTGTCAGTCAAGTTACCTAACTTATATTTACATATTATTCTTTTGCTCCATTTTTAATAGGAGAAATTTGGAGTTATTGAATAATAAATTCTATCTCTCAGGTTTTTATTTATACCTCTATCTCTGAGACAGACTCAGACTTACCTTCATGCAGTATTTCTACTAGTAAAATCCCTGCTTATGTTTTCTTACTCTGTGTGTGTGTGTGTGTGTGTGTGTGTGTGTGTGTGTTTATGTCTGTGTGTGAGGGGGGCAACTGAAGTGACTTTTGCTTTTTAAATTTTAGTGATAAAATATTGGTAAATGGACTTTTTAACTTAGTTTTTTTTTCCCTTGGAGGAGTTACACCCAGTTCTGTTCAGGACCTACTCGTTACTCTGTGCTCAGGGATCTCTCCATGGCAATATTTAGAGGATTGTATGTGGTACAGGAATTTTAACTCATGTTGGCCACAGAGTAAATACCTTATGTTCTGTATTATCGTTCTGGATTGATCTATAGGCCTAGTTGGATCTACAGACCAATTTCTCTGGGCCAATCTATAATACTGGGAACATTTCATTAGCAAGTTTAAGTGGAACTTTATTTCTTGATTGTTTTCTATATTTTGTAGAATGGTAGAGAACAATGGTTTTATAAAAGTCCATTGAGCAAAGCAAGACTATATAATTGGTTGTATTACTATGGGGGAAATGTCTTGCTTTTCTATAAAGGCTGTATGTTCTTAAATCTTTTTATCTAGTGTGCTTCCTTAAATCACAATGCTCTTTTCCTAAGAATCCCACTTTAAAGAATAATATTATCTTTATTTGTAATCACAAGCGTTCATGATTGTAGAAAAAAATCTGAGCCTACTAAAATTCTGATATTTGTAATCAATAACCGTATTCCCTTTTCATCTGTCTTACCTCGGCAATTGCAGTTTCTCAGCTGCATATGTTTTATTATGTAAGAATTCAATTGAAAGAGCCATTCATGTTTGCAAAGGGTGATGTTTTATTATTGGTTATAAAGAAAAGAAATTTCACACTTTGTATAACCGATCCTTTCTGTTATAGCACAGTGAAATCAGAAAGTGAGGAACATGTTAACAAACCGTGGAAAGCAAGGCCACAGAAAGATTTTGTAGTGTCTGACCACATTGTAAAATAAGACCTGGTGATTTTTATGTTTCTAATTGACAAGCATTCAATTCATATTTAAAAATGCATAATTTCTGCATAATTGGAGGCTGTAGGCAAGCAAGAATCAGTGGAGAATTGTCAAAATATTTAATACCAATAAATCATTTTGACTGAGGACACCGTGTATCATATTATTGGGAAATGATCTCAAAAAACCTCCTCCAGGGCCAGGTTACTTTAGTTGTAATATAGAAAGGTGGCAATATTCTTGGAGAGGATTTGAGAATCTGGGAATTACTGTGGAAGTTCTAAAGAGATTCAAATTATGAGTCAGTCTGATTGTGTTTTATTTTTGAAAGTTCTTCACAGTTTAAAATTACTGTCCAATTTCATTTTTGTGGGTTTTTTGGGGGATGGGCACAGTCAATGTGGCTCAGAGATCAATGGTGCTCAGGAGACCATATACACTGCTGAGGATCAAACTAGGTCTGCTGGGTATATGGCAAGTACCTTAACCTCTGTACTACTACTCTAGCTCTCATAGTGTTTTAGTATTTGAATAATTGAATAGCAGTAATTGAATAGCAGTGTTGTATACCAGCTGGATTACATGGAAACTATGGAGTAGTGCAGCAGTTAAAACATAAGACTACCATTCAGAATTCCTGATATTGCCATTAGCTCACTGGATAGCCTTAGATTAAAAGTCATTGTAGTCTTCCTCTTCTCTTATTAAAACAATGGTTATGCACAGTCCTAGCTCCCCTGCATGTTCTAAGATTCTACTTTTCATCCCTAATGCTTTGCAGATTCCATGCATAGAGTATAGAGTTGTCTTGGAGACTCTGAACAGAAGAGACTGAAGTGCATGCTCTTGGTTTTTTGAATAACACAATAGTGAAGCTGGAGGAATTTGTCATTTACATTTTTCCACTATGCTGTTAATCAGAAACAAGACAAAAAGGAGAAAATTCTTTTCAGAAGCAGCTTATAATATTTTATAAAGATTAATAGTTTTGTGTGTTTGGGGAAGTATTAGAAAGTAGAAAAGTGTGGTAGCTTTACACAGAAACTAAATACATGCTGCGTTGGCTTGAAATTACCTGAGTCAGACAAAACACTCCTTTCAGAATTTGTTGTTTGACTAGACTGAAAAACTTTTGTTTTGTGTTATTATTTCTTTGGTTATTGATATAGTATTCTGTTTTATATTCAAAGAATATATTTGTGATATCTCCATGGGAATATGTAAACACACATTAATGAAGAATGTCATACCTACGAAAAGTAGATTCTAAAGTAACTTCAGCCAAAATGTTTTTCCTCTCCCAATTGTTTGAGCTGTGCTAAGTTTAAAATTACTGTCCAATTTCTATCAGATCTTTACATTTTTATGGGTCAGTCATCAACATAGTTATTAATCATTGTAGTGATCATTAAAAGAATAAATTGCTTTGAAGCACATGCCATTTTAGGAAATTTGGTGTTGAATAAGTACCTGCATATGTATTTCTTTTGGGTGCTTATACAAATAATACTTTAGTAAAATGAATTGAGTGTGATTTAATTTCCTGTTGCTTATTGCACCTGACAAACAGAAACGAGGAAAATGAAGAATTGATTTTCTGAGGTCATTTTCTTGAAACTTGCACATAATTCCCATTTGTGCTCATTAGAATAAAGAAGAGCCTTTCTGTAACAAATTAAGAATATACATAACCTGTTATGACATAGTCATAGACATAATAATATGGTCTAGAATTAAAGTACTCTCTCAAAGTACATCATATTCAAAATTCACTGGAGATGTCTTAGAGACATCTGTTGTAATTACAGGAACATGGTTTCTAATTCACTTAATTCCCTTTCCTATCTAAACTGTACATATAAGTGAATTTTAAGAGTCTGTATAAATAAATTTTTAATTACAAAATGATGTTATACAATACATTATTAATAATACCAACAATGCATAATGTTTATGCATGAGTCCATTTGAAAGACAAGCTAATGTATGTCAATTCTAAAGGAATGCACTAATTTGTCCTGAATTTGTGAATGAAGTTCAGTCCTTGATGCAAGCCAATGAGTGCAATAAGACAGAGGTTTCACATGCTTTTTTATAGTCAAGAAACACCTTGTACCTATGGCATTTAAGAGGTATCTGAGATTTTTTTCATCACATTTGATCAAGATCTGATTTTTCAATGAGCCATGCTGCTGTGAAATTTGGAGTAAGATCATTGAGTTGACATTAGTAGCTTTTTTTCCAGACAGTTGCAGATTAAAATGGTCTATAGAATCCACAAAATGTGCACAATCCTTACACTTCAGTACATGGAAATCACAGTCTGGTTGTCATAGGACTTCTCTGTGGGATCAAAAGGTTGGCTGGAACCTGGCGGCGTTGGTGCTTCTAGCGATAACAGATCTCAGAAATCTCCATGGCTAGCTCCAGGCACTCGCTAGTCTCATGGCAAGACTCAAAGAGGCTGCAGTCCATGTCACAATTGCAGTTGCAGTCATTCCGAGAGTGACTCTCGTCTGAGGTGTGGTGATACCTGTGAGAGGGGCAGCACAGGTTGGTGCACATCGTTTCACATATATCAGGGAGCATCAGGAGACAATCCCAAAACTGGCAGAACAGGCAGGTGAGGATGAGGGAAGCGCACTCATCTGTTTAAAGAAGAAAAGAAAGTTAATTGCGGCCCCTTTGAAGGACAGACACGTGCAGTGGCATGCTTGATAACTTTATAGCCTACTCTAAATCCCTTATCCTACTAGGGGTATTGTCTGCCATTATTCTTTCAAGCTCTCCACTCCATGGTAGTACTTACTCTATTGAAGTAATTGCTTATTAACTTCCTGAACATTTCCTATTGATTTTGCATAATCTGGTCCCTTTAAGCGCTGTCACTTTTCTAAACTCCTTTATTTACTTTGCCAGCCGGGAAGTCACACAATTAGTTACCTATCTAGAAACCTTATGACTGTCTTAAAAAAATAGCAGGCAAGGGGCCAGACAGTGAAAACAGGGGATGGGAAGGGCACTTGCCTTGCACATGATGACCTGAGTTTAGTCCCTGGCATCCCATAGAGTCCCCCAAACACTACCAAAAAGGACCCTGAGATCAGAATCAAGAGCAACCCCTGAGTACCACTGGGTACAGTCCAGCCCTTAACCCCCACCAAAATTGCAGGCAGTGCCTCCCTAATACAGGGAGATTTCAGGCCAGAGAGAATTGAGGACGAAGAGAGAAAAGTCCACTTATTTCTATTTTCTGGTCACAGGACATCTTATTTGTTTGATATGAATTCCCATATATTTGCCATAGTACAGTGTAAATAAAAATAAAAAACCACATTTTAAGACATAAGTGACATTTAAAGAGAGTTTTTCTAATTTATTGATTTTGAATTCCTGACTTTTTTCTCCAGTTATATAAAGTCTTGATTTTTATTTTTTAAATCTTGATTTTATATTCAAGTTAAATAAAATATGTCATCATTTGCCTAAAATGTTATGAATCTTATCAAATCTTTTTAAAAAAACTGGTTTAAAAATTTACTAGGTGGACTACTTCTAAAGTTCTGAAATTGCAATAAAGGTAATTCGTAATCCTAGTCAAAGATCTATGATAGGATACAGATGATATGTTTTTTGTTTTCATAAAGGGAATTACTTGGAAAATGGAAGAGTTCTCCTGTTAAGAGTATGATATTTTTGTTAAAAAAGTAATCAAGATACGAGAGGGTTTTGGAAACAGGTAGGTAAGAACTCATGCCATATATAATTTAATTAAATTAAATCAGCATTATAAAGATGGTTGACATTTGAAAGTAATATTGCAGCATAAATTGGAGGAAAAAATTCTCTCATCAATGGTCAATTGTTTTCAATTTTTCTACAGTAATAATATGATAGCTTTTTGATTTGGGGACTTTAGTTGACTAAAACTGTACAAGCCAACATGGCAGATTTTGTTTGGGGTCATCTTCTAGAGTCTTACTGGTTTTTGAACAAATAGACTTCTTTCTAACAACATTTTACATATTTTTTTCCTTTCAGTTGTTCATGCACCTTTTAACCTTTAGAGAACAAAATTCTTGCCCTAAAATTGTCAAAAATCTATTGAAGAAATCATTTAAATTTATTTTTTAAAAAATACAAATTAAGTGAATTCTGATCTACAGATAATCGCTTTCCTTCTTTTCTTCTTCTGCTATTCCTCCATGTCTATTTCTCATCCTCTTTTCCTCTTTTGTTTTTTTCCCAAGAAGATGGTAGAAAAGTACCAAACATCATAACATCTATGACTACTTTAATTGCCACCTATTGTTGCATGTGCTATGGCCAAAACTAATTATTTGCATCTAGGAATCATATTCCTTAATAACTTCCTTGGGGTCTCCTCCACACACATCTCTTTGCCAGACTGGGTATATTTTATTCACAAAGAGCCAACTTTCAGCATTTGGTCAATTCACCAGAGCTTATAAGTCACTGTAAGCAACAACAACTGTGGAGCTAATGAGTGCAGTCAATAGATTCTATTCTGCAAATATATTTCTGAAGAAGGTGCATCAGTAGTAAAAGATGTGGGTCATGAAACCTCATCCAGTTTTATCAGTACCAAAACCACTGCTTTAGCATGCCCTAGCAAAGAAGAGATTGATTCTAAATATAAAATATTTTAAGTCCAAGAAAACACCCTATGATATGAGGATTTAGATTCTTACTCAGACTATGGTCATATACAAATGATTCCACTAGATCCTTTCCTTAATAGCTAGGAGACAAAACTGGGGGTAACTCTATAGAATATGACTTGTGAGGTTAGGAGTTGGTACTTCCACTAGACTGTGAGAAACAAATTTGTAAGTGGCCTTATAATAACTTAGAGAATAAAGCATTTTGGTATAATTTTATGTGCCACTTTCTCAAGTTGGCAAACTTTGGAGTTCTCACCTTCTGTTGTATACCACAGATTCTTATTTTTAAAAATGCTTTAGCCTAATCTTTTGGCCAAAGTGATAGTTATTTCCTCTTGTTTTTCTATTTTACACTTGAGATTATTCTTTGTATTGTAAGTCTGTCCCTATTATTTAATAAAAAGGTGGCATCATTACTCCCAATGAAAACAAAGTAAAACAAAACCCAGCAACATTAATGAATTGTAAAGATATTTTCCAAACTTTCAAGTATTTTCTACACATTTCCTAAAAGTTATAGGAAACAATTCTATTATTGTAAACAAAGCTGTTTGCATATGGCTTTTGCTTACGCATAGGTAATGAGTTCAGGAGATATTTGCAACTGTTGAAAAGAGTTGTACTTCCCATTCTCATGCATAAATATATTTTCCTTTATCCAAACTATTTCTTGAAACTTTAACAAACACATTTGCAATTATATCAACCAGTAGTTCCTTTTCTTAATCTATCCAACAGTATACCACACTCCTAATTGCCTACTTCTCTTCTATAATGCCTTTAAAATATCTTACATTTACTGGGGCTAAATTGTAATATGGCTCTCTCAATACCTCCATCCTGAAAAACCTTTTCTCCTTGAGTTCTATCTGATGAATGACTCCTAAATGCCCAAGTGAACTCAATAAAAACATGGACCCTATTGTTGCCATGTTCTTTCCTTCATTATACATACCTATCCCCGGTACTTCACAAATCCTACTGATTCTGTCTAAAATTTGTATTTAAAACTCATAAGATTTTACCCAGTTTCAGTGTCACCATGTTAGTCCTAGCCAGCATCAACAATAATCAAGTAAACAGCAATAACCTCCTGTCTGGGCTACTACTTCATATGAGCACACCAAAAATGCATTTTTTTTAAAAATTATAAAGTAGAATAGGTCACTTTATCCATAAAGTACCAACTCTTTACTTTAATCTTCAATCTCTAAATTTTAGATTGGGCTTCTGCCTATTCAAATGTCTTTCAGTCCTTCTACACAAGAAGTCAAAACAAAAGCACTTCTTAGAGTCCTTCTTTTTTTAAAATACTCCAAGGAATCATAAAGGACAACAAATTTATACAATCTTCCTAATTAACTCCAGATGCGCAGTCTAAATTTCAATTACCAGGGTACATTTCTAAGAAGCACTTAGGTCAGAACCTTGATACACTATTCTTCTTACTTGGGTTGTATACTTTCCTCCAACTACTTTATCAAACTCCTATTTAACCACTATATTTTCCCATTCACACACGACATGATGCCCAGGGATCTCTCTGGTTTTGCTCAAGATACCATATGAGGTATCAAGAATTGAATCCAGGTTGGGTGCTTGTAAGATTAACAACTGACTTGATGTAATGTCTCTCCAGTCAAGTCCTTATGTTTTTCACTTAAACAGCTTCCCTCTAAAACAAATCTTGCTGAAATATATAGATGATTGCTTAATTCTTGTTCTTCATAGTGCAAACAATGTATGCCGTTAAACTAGTTCATTTATTGGTTTCTCCCATTATTTGAAACACAGTAACACAGACATCATAATATCTAATTGAATATGTAAATAAACGAATAATTCTAAGAGATAAATATAGTGCTCTCCAATTTTTAGATAGAAGAAAATTTTCACTGCCTTCAGTCCTTCCAAATGCAAGGTAGAAGAAATTTCACCTAACATTTGGGAGCAGGGATTCAAGTCTAAGTTTTTCTTGATACAAACTCCACACACTTTTCCATTGTTCTGTGCGCCAGCTATTTCACGAATTTGCAGTCTTCTACAAATTATATGAATCTCATCTGTGTCTTAAAATAACCCTGAATATAGTGCTATTACTATCTTTGCTTTTCAGACTAGGATATTATAGTGGCCAAATAAGTGGTGAGCTGTTGTTAATACCCAGACTGTTTGCTCCCAAGTTCTTTTTTTTTCCTTTTCGGGTCACACCCGGCGATGCACAGGGGTTACTCCTGGCTTTGCACTCAGGAATTACTCAGGGCACCACATGGGATTCTGGGAACCGAACCCAGGTTGGCCCTGTGCAAGGCACACCCGCTGTCTTATTGTTGTACTATCGTTCCAGCCCCTGCCCCAGGGTTCTTATCTGGCCTGCAGAGTCCTCACTTTCCTCTGCCACATTCTAGCCCAGAGCAGGAAGCCACACGGGCTGACTGATCACATGTTCTCCCTTCTACTCTTGACTTTTACCTTGTTATGCTGTTTCCAAGATTGGCAAAGTCTGTTTGCCGGGTTCAGTTAGGTGGCTTTTCTGTTAACTTTAGTCAATAGGCAACAGTGATAAGAAATGGGAGAGGAAAATGAAGGAAGAACTTGGGGTATTCTCTTCCCTTCTATCTGCTTCGGGTGTCTTAGGAAGTAGTTTTGGCTTACTGGTCTTATTACTTCCAAATTTCCTTCTCTCTGTGGCTCCTCCTATTGCCATGTATGATTGCTGTTTAGTAATCGCCAGTTTCTCGTGGCCTACTAAGGTGATGCCAGCACTGGTGACCTATTATGGTGATGTGGAGGAATTCAGGAAGGGGTAGGAGAGCCTGCTGTTTCTCGTTTCTGGGTCACATTGCTGGTCCGTTGCTTGGATTTTCATCTCTTTCAATATCTTCCTAACATATTTCAGGTATATTAAAATCCCTTTATCGACCCATTTGGCATCCTGATACAGGCACCAGTTACTCTCTTGATTCCGCTTGATTTCCCACTGTTTTGTTCCTCTTGATTTCCCACTGGTTTGTCTTTTTAAACCTGGACTGAAGAAGGCTTAGATGCATCTAAGCCTGCTGGCTCTACAGTCCAAAGTGGTGCTTGATGGTGAACAAGGAGCCAAGACAAAAACCCTCACTGGGTTATTTTATTGCCCTTTTCTACCCCAGGGTACCTTTGGGATATCAAGACTATAATGTGCTATGAGATACCCTAATGACACTAAAGCATTAATGTAGTTCCAGAGGTGCTAAATATACAACTGGGGATTGGGTAATTAAGAGAGAGAATCTGCCTCATTAGAAAGGATCAGGTTTAATTACAGTCCAAAAGGTAACAATGCAAGGAATTTCCATAAATGTACTTGAGGTCGTCTTCAGCCACAACCTGTATCCCTGAGTCTGTCCAGCTAGTTTTCTACTTTATCATTATGATTTCCAGGATTAGGAGGATGAGGGGACAAGAGGCAGCTTTAACTTCCAAACTATAACTTCACAGCTCCAGAAACAGCTCCTACTGCTTGGGAAATTACTGGTTAGTAATTTATCAAAATTCATCAAAATAATGAGCAGCATAAAATAATGTCTCTTACTATAAGTCTTTGGTTAAAAGCATAAAAATTTCTTCCCACTCCCCTAAAATGAAATTTTAAAATAAAGTCTGTAATGTAGAATGGAAATAGACAAAGTATGACTGAATTCCTTTCTCTACCTCGGATATCATCCCTGATGTTATCAATTTTAATAGCTATTTAAATATGTCAAGATCTATTTAAGTTCAGACAAGCACAACTAACACTCAAGTCAGTTCTTTAGAACTAGAATGACTCGATTTGGGTGATACTTGGTAAATTTGTGCTTATGTTTTTTTCTGAGCAAATGAACTGAAATAATTATAAAATTGAAACATTTTATAAGGTGACACTACTGTATTTAATTGTGTAAAATTTACAGTGTAGAAAAATATAATCATTTTATTCAGTAGTCCATGGTGTAATTAAGACTATTCTTTTGAGGTATCTTGTATTTATGATTTTCCTTTTCCACCTGAATGAGATGTCTCAAATTCAAAATTATACATCAATTAGGTCTATTCTCAGGATTCTTTCTAGGAGGCTGTTTTCTAATATCACGTGTATCCTTGATTTTATTATCCAGGGGATGCTTTTGCAATCAGAATATACAAGCACAAGGAGAAATACAGATGGTGCTCTAGACTTTTTCCATTTTATTTCGGAAAGGAACCACATAGGATGAACGAAAGTTTAATAATAATGTTGCAGTACATAGTGTGTGATGTGCAGTAAAGACGCTTTTAAATCCCCATCAGAGCACACACCATGAACTGTGCTAATGGATGTTACACATTTTACAAAATCTGCAAGTGCAAGACTTTTCTGTCCTGTTATAAGTGGGGCAATGTATAGAAATAATAGATATTAGCAATTAAGCATCTATTCCTATGCACTCATTTATACATTTGAAAATAAATTAACCACAAACTACGTGAAAGTGGATGCAATCTTCTCTTTTCCCTTCTGTTTTCCCTGCTGTTCCTGAAAGATATTTCTGTATTTATCTCAGTACGAACAATGACCCTAGCTCTCAATTTCTGCATCCTTAAATTAATTACTATTGAAAATTCTCTAAAGTAAAGTGAGTCTAACTTAACTCTTGATTTTCTTATTGTTTGCTGGTTAGGATTATGAGAGTTTCTTATCATTATTTGTGGGTCTTCTTGGTCTGTATGTTTTACTCTTGCTTTTATTCAGGAGTCCATAAACTCTTACCTGGATGGGAAATTTTTTCACTTTGCTAGAGAGGGAAGATGTAAACAAGGGAAATTCTTGGATCTTGCTGTTGCTGACTTCAGACCATGTCTAAAGAAAACAATCTGATCCAACAATCCTTCATTTCCTTTGCTCTTTTGAAAGAGAATAATTGATTTTTTTTCCCTGCAGGAGGCAATTGGGTAACTGTTGCCATTGTAATGAAGTAGCCAATGTAGCCAATTCTCTGGGAAGAAAGGGTTAAGTATCATGCTAGCTGCATTGGTTCTTTTCATTTCCCGGGATCCCTGATAGGAGAAATCAGAGTGCTTTCAGGAGCACAGCTGACAGGGCCACACAATGGCAATTTCCAGTTCTGAGATCAGTAGGAATCATTACAAGTAAGGCGCTTTGTAAGTAAAATCATGCATCCCTGACACAATCTGATAAAACGTTCTAGTATCAAAATCCTTTTGGAAAGAACTCTCCAATATCATCTGATTCTGATTGCTATACAACTCTAATAAGGTTAGAGACATGGGTCTTACACTGAATTCAAAGTCACTGCTTTGTAGTCTCCAGGAGGACGCTGACTCAAAGTTTGGGAGTACGGGGGTTTTATAAAAGAAACACAACCATTGTCAGCACAAAATGTGGCGACTTCTTGCAACCAGATCTTCAATTCTAGCCATATACTTCCTATTGGTAGCAATAAACTAAAGCTAAGTACAAGTTTTGCTTTTCATTTTGCCTAAGTCTTCATTGGTCTTTATTGTTTATTTCTAGTTTACATCTTTCAAACTCCTGAAGTTTTGGGTTTAAAGCATCTGTGGCAACATTTGGACAAACATTTGGGTAAACAATATCTAATCTTTTAGCAACTTTCTTTACCATTATTTTAAAACCATCATTATAATGAAAGAAAAATTTGAATATCCTTTTCTTTAGTAGAATCTGTTTAGAATATTTTGAACTTCAAAATATCCTTGGTGTGTTATAGTAGCTCTAGTGTGTAGGTGAAAGTTTCTGAGCTGATAATTTTTTTCAGTTTTATAAAGTAACCTTCAAGATGAATAAATTAATGTGATTCCAAAATTCCTGATACTCAAAATTTATTTATTTATTTTTCTTTAAGAAGTTAATGTAAATTTAAATGTGGAAGCTATACAATATGTTTTATTTTCTCCAAGAAACTCCAAGATTTCTTTACTTGTGAAAAGAAATGTTAGGTATTGCATTCTAGAAAATTCTTGAGTGGCTTATATCTCTCGCAAAGATCATTGTAAAGTTACCCTGAATAAAATTTTATGTTTTGGTGTGGGATTCATGACTTTAAACTTGACTGTGCTGATCAAATGGCACCACATCAACTTGAAACTGGCTTTGCAAGTGAAACATGCCTTTTACATCATAAACAGGGTATAGATTTTCACTGAACAGAATGTGTAGGAAGTGATATCACCTGGAGACAAAACCAATTTGCAGGTAATTTATATGATTATGTTTATATTTCATACCATATACATTTTCAGCATTTCTATAACATTTTACTCTGCCTTTTCCTCTTAGGTTCGAATCATGGTTGTATAGTCCCAGATCCAAAAAGAGAAGGAAGTTTGCCATTTTTTGTAATTTTCTTCATAGCAAAAATGATTACACTTCACCCCAGCTATTTAAAACATTGCCTTCAACTCCCAGCTTTGAGAGCAAACAATCTGCCAAGCACCTCATAATTGCAAAGTGACCTTGACATGTGTCATTCACCAGGGTTTTCAAATCAAAGTCTTTCTGTTTAATATTCATAAAGACTTTTTTTTCTAACAGCATATGTGATGATTTTACAGAGAATGGGGGTTGGGGAGCTTTATTTAGAGATGGGTTGATTCTGAAAAACATACCATCCGTGTCTCTCTGATGAACTGAAGTATCAGTTTGGAGGTAGGAAAATTTCGTTTGGCATTCTTCAAGGGAGGACAGTGATGTGCTGGATTCTGACAGTTTTTTCTCACTGGGGGTTTCCTTGGCTGGTCCATCTGTGATATTGAATTCGGATACCGAATTTATAACGATAGCATTAATGGGTTTCTCATCTGCATGTTTTTCATTTGTAAGTTGCATATCTAGACAAAAAAGAAAACACACATACACAAACCCACTATAGTTGACATGACCTAAGGATCTACGAATGAATTCTAAGAAAATTTCACATTCTAGACTTTTATAAGAATTAAGTCTTAAAGAATGAAGCATTATTGAATAGCTGTCATTGTCACTGTCCTCCCATTGTTCATTGATTTGCTCGAGCGGGCCCAGTAACATTGTGAGACCTGTTACTGTGTTTGGCATATCAAATACGCATAGCTTTAAAATATCACTAAAAATAAAATGCAGTAATTATAAAATTTTACACATAAATTTAACTGATTTCAGTAATTAATAACATTTCTACCTTCTAAAACAAGAGATAATTGATGAAATTAAGGGGTTAATTCATTCAAATCAACAAAATCTCTTGGTATGTTGTCAGTTTACTCATTGTGTTTTGTAAATGTCAGAAGTAGATAAAGTGTCTTAAATAGGAAACAGTACACCTAGATAATTTACTCCTAGATAGAAATCTCCATCAAGTGACTTTAGAGCTATGCTTCTACAAACCTTACTTTCCTTCCTGTGAAAGAAAGGTGGATATAAATGAACACTCTAAAAACTCATTTCTGCATATATCTTCAAAGACTCTAAGTTGCCATCCTTTTTTCTGTCTTGACATTGGTTAGGGGATTCAGGTGATAATCTGTCTAGCCCGAGGGTGTGCTTCTTGGGAATGTGATTTATTTACTGGGACTGTGATTTTTCTCCATATATTCATCTGACACAATTGTTAGAATTGTTCAAAGAACCTCTGTGAGAATCCTTCCTTTCTTCCTCCCTCCCTCCCTCCCTCCCTCCCTCCCCTGCTCGCTCCCTCCCTCCCTCCCTTCCTTCCTTCCTTCCTTCCTTCCTTCCTTCCTTCCTTCCTTTTATTATTTCTTTTATTATTTTATTCTTTTGTTCTTTTGTCCTTTTTCTTCTTGATTTTTCTTTTTTGTCCTCTTCCCTTTTCATCTCTGCTCAGTAAGCCCTGATCACAGACTCATCAGTGCTTAGGCTGGGGGGGGGGGGGGGGGGGGCTTATTCCTGGTTTTGTACTTAGGGATCACTCCTGCAGTTCTGGGCGTCAATTTTGGTTCCAGGGATCAAACTAGGTCATACATATGCAAAACAAGCTAGTTTACTCACTTCAACATTTGAGAAACTCCAGGCTTTTTCCAATTCGAGAGAGCCACCAAATTAATGATATGATAAAATGGTTGCTAACTTTTTAAACTTGGTTATCAAAGATTCTAGTAGCTAGCCAGTGTCACAAATAGGTATCAGTTCAAGTCAAACCTTAAACATTTATTGATATTTTGAACAACATGATTACTTATTCAGTGTTTGAGGAAGTTACAGGATATTTAACAGCTTTTCTTTCTTCTATCTACTAGATATCAGTATCACCCGTCATCCTAGGGAGAAACAAAAAATATCTATTGATAATGTCAAATTTCCCAGATGGGACAATACCAGCCAGGTTGAAAACCAGACAAAGGCTTCACACACACACACACACACACACACACACACACACACACACACACACACACAATTTTTTACCTCTAATGTAAGCATCGCAAAGACTCAAGGAGGTAGATATTGATAGTCTCCTAAAACAGATGGAAAATGTACAAATTGGCACCCCCAGTTTTCTATCTAGGAGTAAAGCTGAATAAGGGTACCAAACCTTAAATAGTTTATTTAGATTAGTTACCCAGAATCTTTGTTCATAACTGATGGAACTGAGATTTGAACCCAGGCTGGGTGGATTACAAAAGCTTTGCTCTGATCCTTATCTCTTTATATCAAGGAACATTTTTCTTAACTTCCCACTAGGTTTCATCTCTATTTTTTAACAGCTGAGACTGCACATCAGCAAAACCCTCTTCACCCTAAATCCTGTAAAAGTATCACCCACAAAAAATTAAGCCTTGCAAGTAACTTAGCTTTACAGACACTCCTTTTCCTGAGCAGTCTTTGCAAAACAAAAACCACCTCCTTGCACACACAGGGACTCATGCCTGTTCAGTTGCAGCTGCTTCATACCACACATTATGGAGCCGCTCAGAAAGCGCTGATAGATCACGGAACCTTGATGAGTATAGAGATTGCCACAGCTATTTACTTACAGCATTAATTAACAATCAGTTCAAATTATCACACGTAGTCAGGCTGCATGTAATTTAAATTGCTTTTACACAAAGTAATTCAGTAACAAAAAAAAAGTTGGATAGAGGTTACTGGAATGGAGGAACATGCGGAGAATACAGTCTACAGCCAAGTGGTATATGATTCTCTTTTTAATTTTGTGACAATTTTAAGTATAGCATTTTGAATGTAAGTTGTGTGCTACATTAAGCAACCATTTGGAGATACTGAGCTTGTACTGAGAGAATTTTATAGAGAAGTTAAACTGCCATTCATAAAGTTATTTTAATTCTATATCTGTTTATATTTTTATTTTTTTCATTCCCCAGTGGGAACTATCTGTTGCTCATTAGAAAATCTGACATACACACATTTTAGTACCCAGTCTGTTCAACCCAGAATTCTGACATCTGAAGTGAGTCAATTTTTGGGTGAATGTTACTGACATCTTCCATCTTTTATAGACGAAATGCTAACAGTAATTTCCCCCAGATTCCTCCTTTTTTAATGTTATTTGACATTGTATCCAAAGTATTATAAAGCAGCATAAGCTAAAAGGAGAAACACATAAAAGTGGTATCACAACTTCTGCAGAGAAAACTATTTTGGAATTAAATAAGGAACTTGTGAAACTATATTTGGAGGTTAAGCATGGTTCTTAACATCAACTTATAATAGATAATTTTTTAATGGAATAAACAACAGAATTAGGACAGAATTAAAAATCTCGGTATATTTCTTAGGGAAAAATGAATTGTATCTCGAAAGTCAGTAATATAGAAAATTCCTGTTGAGGCTAGAATTGCAGAACCAGTGAGCATAAACTTAAGTAACAGAAAAGACAGACAGTTAATTAATTTTTTATTACCATTGAGCAAATGTTATTAATTTAATTCAATTAACATTTATTGAGAACCCACATGCAATAGATGAATCAATGTGACAGGAGCTAATAATTTATTTACTTTAAGTTATTACAGAAATTTTTATAGGAACATTTTAATGGTTTTTATTTTTTGCTCACTAAATGTGGCTTTGTAATTGCTGCTTTCATTTATTCTCTATGAATATTTATGTAGATAGCCATTCAAATTAAATAGCATCTCTATTTTCCTTCCTCCTCTAATTTTTTTGTGTTTCTTGTCCCCTCTCCTTTTCCTTGCTCTTTTTAGTCTAATTCTGACTGACCTGTCTCTGATTCCTCTTTTTCCTGCCCGCTCTTCAGTATATGTATCTCCAGAAAATATTAATTCCATCCCTCCTTGTTTCATTTTTTTGTACCCTGACTTTGAAGGTCAACTTGTTCATAGACAGTTTCTGTCTTTGTGAAGTTGGTTTCAAGATCTCTATGCAGTCTATCAAACAGGGAAATTTGTTGGGCATAAACTATGTGCCCAGTTCTCTGCTTCTTGAGGGGAATTTAGAGGAAAATGGCAAGAGACCCACAGTCACTGAGTACTACAGTCTCAAATCAGTAATGGAATATTGTCCTTGAGGTTTTATTATCAGGATTATTTTTTTTTATCAGGTTAATAGCACTGTAGCACTGTCCTCCCATTGTTCATCAATTTGCTTGAGTGGGCACCAGTAACATCTCCATTGTGAGACTTGTTACTATTTTTGGCATATTGAATATGTCAGGGGTAGCTTACCAGGCTCTGCCGCTTGGGCAGGATACTCTCGGTAGCTTGCTGGGCTCTCCGAGAGGGACGGAGGAATCGAACCCCCCAGGTTGGCTTGTGCAAGGCAAACACCCTACCTGCTGTGCTATCGCTCCATCCAAAAACATAAAAGGGGAAAGTTGCATATCAGGCCATATTGGAAGTTGAAACCTTCTCCACACACATCTCTTTCAATGCAGACAGAGTTTTTCTCTTTGGTTTCTGCTTGGCCATTGAGTAGCAGAGACCAGTTGGCTGTGGAGCTGCATCCACAGAGTACTAAGAAGTAATAAATCCTACAATCAGTCTTACTACTAAATCCCTCATCTTCCCTCCCACCCCCCAAATTTTGATAGTCTTGATAAAGTCACAATTTAGTTACTTCTCATGGAATTATTATTTTTCAACTTTCCTAATATTCTTTGATTTTCCCTAACCTCCATTTAATCATTTACCAGTACTTCTTTCTTATTTCTTGTAAATATCTCATAAATTCATCTCTGATTTTATTTTCAAAACTACTGCTCAGACTTATTATTATGACCTCAAATTCTGTAGTCATTGGTCTCATTTTCCCAGGACATATTTTTTTGTTTCTTTTTTGGGGGGAACGTTGGGGTAGACCTGGCTGAACTCAGGGTTTACCTGAGGTTTGACTCTGCATCTGCACTCAGGGATTGCCCTGGCAAGGCTCAAGAAACCTTATGGGGTGCTGGGGATAGAACTGGGGCCCGCCATATGTAAGACTAGCACCTACCTTCCTCCTACCAGCACCCAAGATATTCTATATACTCTAATAGAAAATAGACATAATCTTTGGGTCGTATTACTTATTTTTTAAAGGCAAAGAACAGATACTTTATTCTCAGTAACAAATACTAATAGTTTGTTATTACCTAAATATTTACTTATTATCTTTTAAAAATTTTTATTAGTGAAACACCATGAGTTACGGTTGTAGACTTACAAATTTTTGTGCTTGGGTTTCAGTTATACAATGATCCAGTACCCATCCCTCCACCAGTGCCCGTTCTCCATCATTTACATTTTTTAAAAATTTTCGTTAGTGAAACACCATGGGGTACAGTTGTAGATTTACAAATTTTTGTGCTTGGGTTTCAATTGTACAATGATCAAACACCCATCCCTCCACCAGTGCCCATTTTCCACCACCACGG